TGGAATCCTTATAATATCTCAAAAGTACAATTAAAACGATGTCTTACGGGATGAATCCATAGGTTAGAATAACAACCACATCTTATCATGTAAGACAACGATAGAAACCCATGTAAAAATACATTGCCAAAGCTGAAACTTTTCCAAATCAGACGATATATTAAGTTGTGAAAAGATCAATAACTACCTTGTTTTAAGATATTATGGTAAAAACCTGGCCCAGTAAAGTCAAAGGGGTGAAGATATGTTTTTGTTAGAAATGTATCTCACTTAAGTGAGGCACTGTTAGCTGCCACAGGCTCAAAGTCATCAGAAAGTTGTGAAAGACTTACAGCACCATGTGAGCTATTCACCGATGAGGCCAAAGTTATCTGTTCTCCCTGTTACCTCCACCATCACATATACTTCCAGAGACCTAGGCTGTTGCTGCACCTCATACAGATCACCTTGCAAACCAGCGCAGATCCCTACCTCCCCACTGAGCAGCTCAGAGTACATCTGGGGCTCACAAAAAAAACCCTACTATGTGGCAACAAGAGCACGTGGATTGTGCTGGAGCCCAGCTCAGCATCCCCAGTGCCACACAGCTCCAGGATCTTTTGCTGTCCATGCTCAAGCTGCAAACAACATCGAGGCGTCACAGCAGACTTGCAAGCTGTTGATCACTGAATAATGAATATTAACTGGGCTGCTGAGGTATCCTGGTTTTGGCTGGAACTGAGTTAATTTTTTTCAGAGAAGCTCACACCTGCTGTGTTTTGGATTTTTGATGAAAATTGGTGTGTTAACACTGCTATGTTTTAGCTGTTGCAGAGCAGTGCTTGCACAATGGCCAGGATGTTTCAGCTCTTCGTGCTGCCCTGCCAGTGAGGAGCTGGGAGGGGACACAGCCAGGACAGCTGGCCTCATGGGGCCAGAGGGATGTCCCATACCATATGGAATAAAGAAGGAGGAAGGGGAGAACATTTGGAGTGATGCTGTTTGTCTTCCCAATAAATCATTATGCATGACAAGCCCTGCTTTCCTGGACGTGGCTGAACACCTGCCTGCTGATAGGAAGTACTGAATGGATTTCATTTTTTGCTTTACTCATGTGCGTAGCTTTTGCTTTACCTAGTAAGCTGTCTGAATCTCAACCCCTGAGTTCTCGCACTTTACCTTTCTGATTCTTTTCCCCATCCCACCTGGGGACACTGAGCTATGTGGTGCTCAGCTGCCTGCCAGGGCTAAGTCATGACATGAGGCCCCTTTAGTGCTCAGCGTCAGCTTGCTTCATCTTACACATACCTGTCCCCCAACTCTAGTGTTACACACATACCTCAACTTAAGGGGTACATGCCAGTTTCGAGAACTCTGCCTTTGAGGACTCACTGCAGTACAATCATCTCCAAAGTCAGGAAAAAAAAAAATCACAGCCTTGTGCACTTCGTAGACAGTTTCTGCTTTAGTCCCACAGAAACAGGTGCTACAGACAGAAAAAACTTGTAGATACTGCCAATAGGAAAGGGAAGAAACTGCTATTTAAATACACTGTCTCAGGTATAACTTGGAGGAAGCCAAGTTGCCAATTCATACAATAGGGTTGAGTGTTAGAACAGAGACCTGTATCACTTCTCTGGATCCTGGATTGTAAAAGAGTGTATTTCTCCAGTCTATCTTACAATTACTCTGATTTCTCAAATGAAGTCATTTTTATTCATTACATAAGCATAAAATTCTTAGAGGAAAATTACCATATCATTGACATCATTTTGTAATATAAACATGCAGAATGCAGGAGTTTGAATACATGCTAGACTTATATTTTGGTAAGGTCTCAATTTTATTTGTAATGTTTTATCTTTTTGTTGTTTTGCGGGGAATGAGAACTACTTAAATTACTTCTTGGCATAGATACTTATCATACTGTGTTTTATCTTTTCACTAAGATACATAAGGTATCAATGAAAAACATTAGTCACATTCTTTCATCCCTTATGTCTTCACCTGGCATTAACCAATTCAATGCGTAAGACTCAGAGTACTGTTATTCTGCAAGCAATAAAGATATTTTGCTCAACTAAAGTGACTCATTTATTCAGAATGCCTGCCCCGATCCTCTAACACATAGCATATGGTAGCAAACTTCTGGCAGGGTACAGCTCTAAAATTAGGATTTCATATCTGTATTAAAATGGTAAGTTTCATATCAGCATTTAAGCACAAGTGAGGTTTTATAATATTTTTGTTCAGAAAATAGAATCTGAAAATTGTTGATTCCTTCAAATAAACATTGGCTAAGGCTGCTCTACAACAGGTAATCAGGTAAACCTTCACAGGCATAACCCAATGCTTATCAGCATTATTATAAAAATGAAAGGAAAATTTGTTGTCTCCCATCATATGAAATACTTTCATGAAATTAAATCATTGCTTTCTTTCACCAGCTGAACAGAAATTTATTATCAGAGTATCAACATAACCTGATACTGGTTAAATTCATAGATGACTATCATTTTTCAAATGTGCAGACCCTATCTGTGGAATATCTTTTGAATAGCATGCTACAAATGTCCATTTCTTGCTTCCATTGGTAAATAATTAACTACACTGTAAAAGCAATAGGCAGCGGAAGGAAGAACATTCCAGGTTTCCCTTTTAAAGCTTATGCCTCTTAGACTCAACTCCTTAAATTTCAGGAAACTCAATGATTGACTCCCTGGATGTTGTTTATTGCCCTGGTAGTTCTAGCCTTCCTCTTTATACCTCCAGTTCATCCTCCCATTGAGTCACACAGCCAAAGACTACTTAGAGCAATGCACTGGTCTTTTAAATAGATGCTATGAAAAGCTTATTGCAGAATTAAGAATCTTTTTGTTCTTCTCTTGCTTAATTCCACATTGTGATAATGCCTCCCAGGATTTAGAGAAAAGGAATGAGAACAATGTGAAGGAGGAAGACACATCAAACATTAGTGAATGTCTCAAACACACAAATGTCCATCTTCCTGTGGCTATGTCTTCTGTTACTAGAAGTTATATACTAAACTGATAATATTTGCTACTGTGTGCTCTTTGGAATTACTGTTTATGTGGAAAAGCAATGCAAAGCATTTTTTTTTTTATTTTCCCCATTCTTAGGATCTTTTAGATTTCCTTCATAAACTACCCAGAATTCTTCTACGTATAAAACAGGAGTTCTTCCCCATATGCCAAAATCAATATATGGTTATTTACATCACACACACAAAATGCAGAAGGAAAATAAACATAAAAGTAAAGTGAAGATGAATCAGTTGGCAAAAAGTTGCAGGCTACATATATAAATCATTCCCATGTCTTGCATTATGGCTTTGTCTAACTTGATGTGGTTCAAAGTATTAAATAACTGTCACTTAAAATTCCGGTAATTTCACGACTTTAGAGCACTTTTAAAATGAGAAATGTTTTAAAATTAGTTATCTTAGAAATATGAAGATCATTGTTTATTCTCATATAGTATGTTGTAGCAGTTTCAGTGAAGTCACCTCAGTTACTTTCTATACACAATAGAAATACATTTGGCAATATACACCAAATAATTTAACATAAGCATGCATAGTACCTACCCACATATTACTATCTTCATCACTTACCTTCCAGGCTTTCTTGTTCATCTGGAGTGAAAGTATCTATCTGACTCTGCTCTCTCAAGAAATGGATGACAGCATAAACCAAGCGCTTCACTGATGACATTTTGAAATTGTTGAATTTCTCCTATGTCTTAAGAAGAATAGGATCTCCTATTTCTGGAAAGAAAATTAAAAAAAAAAAAAAAAAAAAAGGAAGAAAAGCTTTATAATATGGCAGGATGTATGCTTTGGGCCCAGTCGTTAATTCCTAGAGCATTCCAGCCTCCCACCGACCTCAGTCAGAAACACACCCAAAACATGAAAAATCATCGAAAAATCATCCTTCACGAGACAGCCGAATAAAGCAGTGCCTTGAGACGAGCCATTGAATTGTAAGCGTTATGGGGGAATCCTACAATCCTCTAGTCTACGAGCAAAAGAGGACAGATTTCCTTGGGCTCCTTCCTGCCGGAGAGGTCACCGAGGATAAACCCAGCAACTTATTTTCCCGAAGGATGCAGTTTGGGTTTTATTCACACACCTGGAAGCGGGGTCACACGCCTAACTCATACAATCCATTAACCCTGCATGCCGACTGGGAGATGCAGTGACGTAAAGGTGCAGCACACGCTTCCACACGCGCCCTTCTGTTTCCCGACCTCGCTGCACGCTCGGTGTTCCCTGACACGGGTGGCTCCGTCCCACTGTCGGAGTTATGTAACTTGGGGAAAAACCTCGTCTCCTCCAACTTTCCCAGTTATTATTTTTCCACAAACCCCTCCGGGGCCAGGCGGGCACCACCTCCCCCCTTGATCTGCTGTGGGGGGGGGGGAGGGGGGGGGAAGGAGGCTATGGGGGGGGGGGGGCTCAAACGCAGGCTGGGCACAACAGGGCCGAGACCACGGGGGCTCACCCCACACCTCCCCACTCACACTCAGCCTCACACTCAGGTTCACACTCACACGCCCCTTCCCTGCCACGGCAGGGCTGGCTGCAGGCGGCTCCCACCGAGGAAATACCGACCCGACACCAGCCCCCCCAGATCCCCCGGCTCTCCCCGCATCCCCCCGGACCCCTCGGGACCCCTGGGGACCCCTCGGGACCCCCGGGACCGAGCCCCCCCCGCCGTCCCCCGCACCCCTCGGCTCCTCCGGGCGCCGCCTCGGAGAGGGGCTCGGGGGGGGAGGCGCGGCGCGGCCGCACGGCGGGGGGGGGCATGGCGCTTACCGAGCCGGGCAGGGCAGAGCCAAGCCGGGCTGAGCTGAACCGGGCTGAGCCGAGCCGGGCTGAGTCGCTGTCAGCGCCGCCGCTGGGCGGGGAGGAGAAAGGCGGCGGCGGAAGCGGATGCGCGGGGCGGCTGTGGCGGTGCCCGCGGCCGGCGGTGACAGCGGTGACAGCGGGAGCGCAGCCGGCCCTTCCTCCTCCTCCTCCTCCTCCTCCTCCTTCTCTCTCCTCCTCCTCCTCCTCCTCCTCCTCCTCCTCCTCCTCCTCCTCCTCCTCCTCCTCCTCCTCCTCCTCCTCCTCCTGCGGCCCCGCCCCCCATGCTGGCCCTGTGCGCGGCTCGCAGGTAGGCGCCCAGGGGCTGTGGAGGGGAGGGGGGGAGGCTCGTGGGGCACCGCCTCAAAATGGGGGGCGCCCAGCCCTGCCCTGTCCCCTCGGGGCAGGGATCTGGGGAGCAGCATGAGGCTCCCCCCGGGCATCGGGGGCTGCAGGGGGCTGCGGGGGACGAGGGGCGAGGGGGCTGCGGCAGGGGGGAGCCCCCCGGGCTGCGCTGCCTTTGTTCGGGGGGAGCCGGGGCGGGCAGCAGCCGCAGCCCCCCCCTCCCGGATCGCCCTTCTGCTGCCAGGTTCAGTGCACAAAGACTTTATTTCCCCAACGCACATTTGCATCTTTATATATATATATGTATATATATTTATTACAGGCGTTTTCGCTGTTCTCCATGTTTTGCGCTGGCTGCCCATATATCTCCTGCAGGTCTTTCAGACAAAAAGAAAGACGTGGAGTGCTTGAAGCACTGAAGTTATTCCTTTAGGGGAAAAATTAAAAGATCAATCTTTCCAATTTGCATGTGGAAACTATAGACCCCTCCCTCCTAAATGCCAAGAAAGCGTTGGGTATTGATTTAGGCATTGATTTTTTTTTTTTTTTTCACCACGTGTTGTAAGCACATCAGGGAACGATCGCTGCAATTTGTTAATTGCATTATTTTTGTCAGTCTTCATTTGAGTGTGACCAAGTCATTGTTCCCCTCCAATCCCTCAAAAATAAGACTGATCCTGGATGCCAAATAGAGACCTCTGACTTCCCAAAGATAAGCAAATGGCTGCAGAAGTGTTGAATAGCAAACACACTCACAATGTTAATGTAAGATATATTAATATCTCACATTAATATATGTGAAATGTCAGTTTTTAGGAAGTTTCAAATGTGTCATAAGTTGAATAAAATGATTAAACATTTGACACATGGATTAGTTAAATTGGGACGATAGCCTATTTGCTCTTTGAGGATATTAGTAGTAATGGAAGAAAAAATGAAGTGGGAAGTGTGACTTAAATAATTTCATTGTCCTAAAATAATACTCCAGGAATCAAGAATTCTGAAGACTTTCTTTCAAAATCTTCAAAATAATATTTTGAGTAGCAAAATAGATGTGTGTGGGCTCTGGGAGAATGAGAATTTCTATTTAAGACCTAATTTTAGATTTTTGTCTCTGGAAAGAGAATCTGAACACGTTTTTTTTTCTCTTGATGGGGAAGTGAACTGGCAAGAAACAGGGTTGGTGGGAAGAGGCAGGAGGAGGAGCAGGGAATGGGGATGAAGGTCATAAAACTGGGAAGACCTTTTGTAGTGGCTTTCCTATAGCATTTTCCTATAGCATACTTATTGCCTTAGAGTGTGTGTGCTTTCCTTAAAATGTCAGGTCCATCTCCAGCGATGGCAAGGACCAGGCAGGAAGCACAGGACGTCTTTCACTTTCCCTGTGCTCCCCAGACTGCACAACCTCATCTGTGTACCCCAGCAGAACTGGTCTCCTGTGGAAAAAAGTGACAGCCGCCACCTTTCTAACCGCAGCAGGCTCTATAGAAACAATTTGGCTGCTCAGCAGAGTTTGCAGAGCAAAATGTTCCCTGGACCTACTGAGTCAAAGATGTCAGCCTCATAAGCATTTTGTGGTCTGAATTTGTCCTGTAGGGCACTGGTTGGAACAGACTAAAAAAAGCAATGAAATCAACATCTTTTGAGGAAATAACTGTTCTGACATTCTCTCTACGAAGACAGAAGGACCTGAGGGAATGGCATGGGGCAGGGACAGGGGAAGGTCAGGGTGGGTGTGAGGAAAACGTTCTTCACCCAGAGGGTGGTTGGGCACCTCTCCTGAGGGCAGTGGTCACAGCACTGAGCCTGACAGAGTTCCAGAAGCATTTGGACAGTGCTCTCAGACATCTGGTCTGATATTTGGGTGGTCTTGTGTGGTGCCAGGAGTTGGACTCAATGATCCTTGTGGGTCGTTTCCAGTTTGGGTTATTGTATGATTCTGTGAAATGCCTGGCTTGGAAAAAATTATTTTCAGTGGTTTGGATTTGACAGATCAAAAATCTGTCCTCTTTCCTACACAAGTCAGGATCAGGATGCCTAGGAAAGCACAAAAGGCAAGGCAAACATGCAGCAGTAACTTTTCAGAACAGTCCTGTGCCTTGTTGTAGTCTAGGTTCTGGGGACTTCCCTACACAAAAAGCATTTGCCTTAGGATTTTGTACAAAAATTAGTCTACTAGTGTGTTTTTACACTGAACAAGCTTCCTAAGACTGATCTTTTTCTGAGTCGTGTCAGAAGTAACAGGGGGAAAATTAATCCCAGTTTATTCTCTCCATGCTTTTCATGATTGTATAAATTTCTTAAATACTTCCTCTGTCTGTTTTTGTCCAGGCTGAAGAATCCCCATCTAGTTAGTTATTCTTTGGATGGAATTAATTTCTCACTGCAGCTGATCAGTATTGACTCATCATGACTTGGTAGAAGAGGAAAAGGTTTGGGGCAGGTGGGAGAACAGAAGATGAGAAAGTTTGTAACTGTTGGGATGAGCAGAACTGCACATAGTGTCTTTGTGCTTCACATGTTACAGAGTGGTATAAAAAATCTTTGTTCTGTTCTCTCTTCCTCTTCTGGTCACTCCTGACATTTCATGTGTATTGTCATGAGTCAATGTTGTAACTTTGCTAATCTCTTCATTAGTATTTGAAAGCCAAACAGACTACACTAGCTGTGTAGACTGATCTCTGTCTATTTTGAGTCCTTTAAAGAATTCCAATAGATTGAGTCATGGGTTCCTTCTGTAGAAAAGGATACATTTTAAGTGTGTTTAGCTTTTATGTTTACAAACCCTCCTTAATACTTTTTTCTGTCTTGCAGTACCACTTGTTTTTCAGTTGAAATCAACAGACTGTTTTAAATGCTTTGTATGATTTTGTTCTATTACTGAACTGTCCTTGTAACAGTGTGTGGTGTTTGCACTAAATAGCATGCGTTTGCTGTTTACATAGCAGGTATGACAGGCCTTTGTGAGATGCTTATGGCAGTACCAGAGAGAGCTGGAAATACTTTTTTCCATTGTGTTTTGTATGGCTCACTTGGTGGTAGGACCAAGCAAGAAGACAACCCAGATCACAGAATCATGACTCATATCCTGAGTTGGAAGGAACCCACAAGGATCATCAAATTAACTCTTGATGAGTGCTTCCTGCATCACATTCAGTGTAATTTAAGCAGTTCACTTGCAGTCTGCATGTACCTGTTGAAAAGTCTCTCAACTCCTTTCTGAGATTCTCCAGCCGGAGTGTGGTATGTTGGGAGTTTGCAGTGACACCATATGGGTTCAGTTCACAGATTGGATTTGTAACCCAGTTTAGCAGTCCTAGTAAGACTTTAATGAATGCTGCAACTGGGGAGAGACAAGATGAGGCAGTCTGCAGAAACCCTGACCTTCTGCATGGTCAGCTCAGGACTACTGCATAGAAATCACCTCTTATAAAAGTCAGTCAGAGCAGTTTCTGAATTGCTTTTGTTTAAAGACTGTTGAGGGGACAGGGATAGAGGATGCAAGTACAGTAAGACTGCAAGTACAGTAAGACTGCTTAGGGATTTGCGGCACACGTAACATGTTATGCACCTGTATGAATTCCTGCTTATGGTCTGCATTTTTTATTAGCCAAGAGTTCATTTTTCAAGTACTTTACTGTTGTTAATTCTACCAGAGAAACCAGTAAACATTTGATGCCAGATAATAAGATTATAAAAGTAGAATTGAGAGAAATGTATTTATTGATAAATGTTTTAAAATGATAATGTAACTTACAGCTTTTTTAACTTACATTGATCTTAAGAGCTTAAAGTGTATCTACTATAGAAGTGTAATCAACAGAGCTTACAGGGATCTGAGATGCAAAGAATCTTTTCTTTTCTGAAAGATTTAGTGACAAATTAAGTATTTAATGTTAAAAAGTTCCAGATCTTCTTCTATTCCATCAAACATAGCTTAAGAAAAAAAAAAGTTTATTGTAACAGTTATAGAACTCAAAATTCAGCAATACTAAGGAAACTGTCCTCTTGCCATACTGAGTTCTGTCTGTGCCAAACTCTGTCATGACACAAAGCCAAGCACTTTTCTAAGGAAAAGGGCCCAAGAATTCAAGGCATGTATTCACTGCTCCAGACACTTGTAATAATGATTTCAAATGTATTTGTCCAGCAGGAAAAAGTGCTGACTTAAATTTTGGGGTTGTGGTCTCATTCTTTTGCCAACTTGAAATAATGTGCTCCCATCATCTTCCTCTCCAATTAGCTCCATCAGCTTTAAGTTGATACAACTCCTGTTCTGTCTTGGACTTTTTTTCTTCCTTTCCTGTTTTCTGCCATGGTTTACTCAGTGCTCTGCTGACTTTCCTTGATTTTTGTCCTTTCTTTACTCTGAAGTAAAAAAAAAACTTACTGTCTGAAGCGATGAGTCAAAACTGAAACAGTGTGGATACGTTATTTAGAATTCAAGCAAGAATTTAGGCTAAATAGTACGACTCTATAAAATTTCTGTGTTAAAATCTATGCAGAGAACAGAGGCAAAGTACCGTCCTCTACTATATTAGCTGTTGCTGAATACTGACTGTAGTTTGTTTCTGAAGTGTTCTTTTTTGAATTATATAGGTCTTCACTTAAAGGAAATTGGAAAGCCTTATGTTCCACGGAGTAAGAGACTTAGCTGCTGTAATGGTTTACTTAAACCATGACTGTCTGTTACTGTTTATATATGTTTGGTAACACTCTCAGGGAAATGCCAGCATATGGCATATTATTCAAGTATTAAATAATTGCTCCTTCAGCAATCTGACAGTTTTTGTATTGCCTTGGAACTTTTTTTTTTTTTTTTTCTAATCTAAACATGACCGCTAGGTGGGGATAAAACACCGAGTGAGGCCCTGAGAGTGCTGGTTGCTCTTTCCTGGTGAACACGGTCTTCACATCTACAATGTTGGCTTCCAGCATGCGGTGCTGGTTCTCTTGCAGCCTGTA